GTGTGTGTGTGTATGTGTGTGTGTGTAAGAGAGAGAGAGAGAGAGAGAGAGAGAGAGAGATAGGCTGCCTCATTGGCCTAGAAGTCACTTAGTGAGCTGGCCAGAGCCTTGGGATTCTACCATGACCCCCCACCCAGTGTTTTCATATGACTTCTAGGAGTCAAATTCAGGTTTCCATACTTGCACAGCAAGGAGACATTTTATACACAGAGCCATCTTCCCAGTCCAGAAAGTAAAGATTCTGGGAATTTTCAACTAAAATAACTACGTATATCATTCTTATATTATGAACTCAGTAACTATCCATCTTTGCTTCTATGGTACCAAAAACCACAAGCTACGTGGGTCCAAATGGAGCCTCACCCATGGGCATAGAAACATCATAAAAATTATTATTACTATTATTTACTAAACTTGCTTTTAAAAGATAAAGGAAATTAAGGATACACTTACTATTATTTTTTTATTCCTAGCACATCTTTGAAGAGTGATATTAATGTTCTCTTTCTTCTCCACATCAGTCACCTGAAGAAATTGACAAGGAGGAAGCTGGCATCTCTGAGGCAGAAGAGAAGCTGGGTCCTGCTGTAAAAAGTACAGATGTGTACACAGAGAAGCATTCAGACAATCTATTTAAACGGACAGAAGTCCTAGCAGGTGAGTTGCCAGCAGTTTCAAGTAGGAAGGTGCTCAAAGATGTCACTGGGAAAAGTGGCGTTCAGTGGTCCTAATAAAGCATCTTGCTGGCTTCCTGGAAGCGATTGATCTTCAGACTCTATTTCATAATGGCACGTTAACTCCTCTAGCCTATCCCTCAGCCAGCCATTGATAAGAGGTTAAAGTGGGAGGCAATTCCAGGTTATATTCCATCATGGCATGGACATCAGAGTGGTAGAACCTTGAAGTAGTAAGGCTGAATAGGCCCAAGACTGTTGGGCGGGGGCAGGGCAGGAGATACCAGTCAGAGGGTTGTATTACAGGTCATCTCCGGAATTCAAAACCTCAGAGGAGGAAAAGGCACAAATGCTACCCACGTGATAAGAATTTAGCCACTAGTGAAAACTCATCTGGTGAAAGTACATATTGAATATCATTGATCTGAGAGTCTGGAATATTCCAGACAGCCAAAGCTTGTCAAACTCTGCTATGATGGCACAGTGGGAAATGCACTCCTGAGCTCTGGATGGAGCTGGCTTACACCCCAAACACAGGCACACTACATAATCTTGTTTTATCAATAGAATTACTTTTAAATTGTATACGTTTTCCTTTGGTCTTTGTGTATAGAGTATCTGTGAAAATGGAAATGAATTTCATATTTAAACTTGGAACTGATCCCTGATATCTCATTCCACATATGTAAATATTCAAGAATCTGAAAAAGTCCAAACACCAAAACACTCCTGGTCCCAGAAATTTCTGATGAGAGAAACACACTGAAACCTGTATTGGTATTTGTTTTGAAGGAGAAGATTTGCAAGATGTAACAATACCTAATTTGTGTAAGGGTTTACTCAAATTCAAGAATAGAAAGATATTTGCATGCTTTTTGTATTTATTCTTCAATTTTAACTCTATTATATCATGTTTTGTACGTTCATTGTGATTAGAAGCTTACTTTGTGAAATGCAAGTACTTGAAAGTGTAAGATTAGTTGAGGTTGCTGCTGGGTTTTTCTTATGGAGGCTGTTGGGTTGATATTACTTACCTTTATGAGAAATGACACTATTGAATACAGATTATTGTTTTTAAAACTTGGGTTCTCAAACCTTTTATTAAAGTGTCAATAGTTGGGAACTGACCAAACTAATTCCTGCAAACTTTGAACCTCGTGTAATAGAGCTCTTTCTTTTGTTTCAGCGGTCATCGCTGGTGGGGTGATTGGCTTTCTTTTTGCCATTTTTCTCATTTTGCTGTTGGTGTACCGCATGAGGAAGAAAGATGAAGGAAGCTATGACCTTGGGGAGCGCAAACCATCCAGTGCAGCTTACCAGAAGGCACCTACTAAGGAGTTTTATGCATAAAGCTCCCACTTAGTGTCTCTATTTGGGAGATCACTGAACTTTTCAAAATAAAGCTTTGGCATAGAGTAATGAAGATCTTTGTTATTTGTTTTGTTCATTACAGAGCCATACTGGCCCTTTAATGATAAAATCCCATTGTATTTAAAACTTTTCATGTATTTCTTTAGAATGACATACAAAGTAAAAATTTAACATCTGCAGTGTTCTGTGAATAGCAGTGGCAAAATATTATGTTATGAAAACCCTTGACATTTGTGGAATTGGTTTGAGCATCTATGCTCAAATACAAAATGATTGTGTTTGTCTTCTGGTTCAAAGATGACTGCTGTTTCCCTCATCAGCATGTCTCCAATTGACCTTACCAAGTTGGTCTTTGCTAATTTATCTCTTGTCCCTCTTCTTTGCCCTCCCTTCTTGCCCCCCTCCTTAAAAACGAAACCTTTTGTAGCTGTCAAGGTGCAATTTCTCTTTGAATGATGACAATAATGGTAATTTAGTGTATATGTGATTTTTTTCCAAATATGTAAACTTACTTTATGTACTTTTTTAAATGTCAGACTAACCATTTTACACTTGCTTTTCTTTTCATTACCTGTAGCTTCAGGCAGATTTGCAACCGCAAATTAGTGTGTAAAATTGGATTATTACTACGAAGCTGTTTAGTCCTAGTGATCTAACCAGATCTTCTTTTGGGAGGATTTGACATGAGTAACTGACAAGCCTCAGCAAATCCAAAGATGCTAACAGTATTTTGAAAAGTTGCTGCAGATTCCTTGGCCACTGTGCTTGTTAATTTCTTGTAATTTGAAGTACGAGGAAGAGTTTAAAGAGAAAAAAAAAGACCGGTTTTTGTTCTTTAAAATGCATTTAAGTTGTAAACATCTTTTTAAGCCTTTGAAGTGCCTATGATTCTGTGTAACCTGTTGCAGACTGGTGTTAATGAGCATATATAACAGTTTAAAAAACAGTTGGCATTTTATAAGCACAGACAATTCTAATGATAATTTTTGTAGTCTTATGAATAGACATAAATTGTAATTTGGAACCAAACTACTGAATAAATCATGTGGCCTAATATTGATAATGTCACTGTTATAAATTTTGTACATTTTATCAAATGTACATCTCCCCTTTGCTATGATTGACCGTCTGCTCTCAGCAACGATGTGGGTTTGATTTTTGAGTATTTCATGGTGTCTGTAAGTCGAGACCAAAGAGCTGAACAGCAAGGCTGTTTATTGCCAGGGTCACCCCTGAACTGGCCAGAGGAAATGTATGTATCACCCATGTGTCTGGGTACAGGGATAGGAAGACTGCAAGGGATTTCAAGATTTGCAACCTTTATAGCATAGCTACTGGCAATACGGAGAAAGATGCCTTCTTTTGTAATTTACTTTTAAAAGTATAAATTCCAAAGAAGTGAAAGGACCTTTCTGGAAGTAGGTATCTGGGGCTCAGTCCTACAGATTCATTTATCTGTCAAAGCTCCCTGGAGATTGGTAGAACTCCTGTGTGGAACACAGCAGCCACTCCACGGGGCTGTGGGGAAGAGTAGGGAGACTCTGGATGATAAATGACAGTCTTGCTACTTAGGATGGAATTTCTAGGAAAAGCAATGCCAGAGATGGAGAGATTGGGATACCCTGGTTGGGTACTCACTGTACAAAGCATTTATTTTTTTTTCAGTTATATTTTCTATTTTACCATTAATTTTATTTTTAAACTGTGAGCCATGGAAGTAGAAAGAAGACAACAAGAACTGCAACTTTTCCAGCATAAAGTTTACTTTTAAGGAAGTTTGACTACTTCGTTTGAGAACCTTCCCTGGACTTGCCACAGAACTCAATCAAACAAAACTAAAGTAACACTTGGAACCGTGTTGTATCTGAATCCTTAAAGGCCTTAATTCCCAAATTCCTGTCCAATTACAGACGTCATTCACCTTGTTTAGGATGATTAAAAGGAAATGATGGGCCCTTCCAAAGCTGCACAATGCCCCTCAATTACAGAGGCTAAGAATGTAGTGGGTATACCTCTAACTGTCTAAACAGTGCAATTCTATTTGTAGAATAACTTGCTTGGGATATCTGTGCCAGGAAAAGAATTTTCTGGCAAATATTTTGTCACTGCTGTAAAGCAAATTTGTTAAAGTGCCAAAATAAAGTCTGTCATGCCGAAAGTAAATCATTGTATAGACTCACATCCACTTTCCTGTATGCTTTCTGCTTAGTTTTTTTTTTTTAATTTTTAAGAAACAGTAAATAATATCATAAAGCGTTAGTAGTCATTACTGAGTTCAGGAAAATTTTGGTAAGCTATAAAAATTAAGGCCAGTGTGGTAGTTCCTGTTTTCTTAACCACCTGTGAATGAGCTCCCTTGTCTAAGTACTGCTATTTGTTTGAGAGACCTATAGTATTCATATTGTCTGTTTTCAGCACGTGGTGCGGGATGGGAAGAGCACATTAAAAAATAAAGAAGAAGAAAACTTTTAGCTATTGGCAAAAGTATCTGAACTCAAGATTAATGCCTTGTTAATACAACTGAATTTAGTTTAAACAAGACAGAAGCTTCCCTCAATTAATGTTAGCATTGGATAGTTTCCTGTCACATGTCCAGTGAATTGGTATCTAGGAATACTAGTTATTTTACCAATCAATTCAGTGCCCTTATTGAGCATATACTGAAGTCAGTGAACTTGGTGTAGGGCATAGGTAGAAACTGGGTGTCCTATACAGGCAGCCTAAAGAAACTAAAGCTGCCCTAAACATAATAATGGCGTGGTTCTTAGGTATTTGTTCCTTCAAAGTCTTAGACATTTTCAAAGTTTAAGAGAAAATTTTAAGTGAGAATCAAAAATATAAAACCTAAAAGTATCACAGGGTTAGTTTGGAACGCTATTTTTTGTTTTGTTTTGTTTTTTCAACTCGACACAAGGTAAGAACGTTTCGGAAGAGGAAATTTTAATTGAGACAATACTTCCATAGGGTCAGCCTTTAGCCATTTTCTTGATTAATTGTTGATGTGGTAGATCCCAGCCCATGGTAGATTGTATCACCTGTGAACAGGAATGAGCAAATAACAGAGAACAAGTCAGTAAAGGCCACTCCTCCAATGGGCCCTGCTTGAGTTCCTGCCTCTAGGTTCCTGCTTGAGTTCCTTCACTCACTTCCCTAAGAGATGTATTGACAGGGAAATAATAAGTCAATAAACCCTTTCCTCACTGGGTTGGATTTGGTCAATGTTTTATCACAACAACAGAAAGCAAACTAGTTGTTTGATAAACAAGATCTTTTTAACCTTACTAATTTAAATAATAGGGTAATAGAAGCAGTTTTTTTAAAAAAATATTTGGGTGATACATGGCTACTGAATCAGCTACATTGGAGACTCAGTCAGGGAATCACTTCAGTCCAGGAATTTGAGACCAGGTTGGTCAATACAGAGTTTGCATTTCCCAAAACAGAGTCTAGGGCAGGGTTGAACTGCTAGAGTTGGGTGTAAGGGTGTAGCTCTGTCAGATTTTAATAACTGTCTTGTCCTTGTTTTGTATACATGCAAAAGGTCCTGAGTTAGATCGTCAACACCCTCCCAAATGAAAGCAAACAGGCGAACAAAGACAATGTCTAGTGTGAAATTCTCAATTCTTTTAAGTCCCTAGCGAGCGACTGTGAAATCCTCAGCAGTTTCCAATGAACTTAAATCAAGACAAATGAAAAGTGGTTGCTCTATATCAAGTGATTAATTAAAATGTTATTCATTGTTAATACTTTATACTAATAGTGAAATTTGAGACTTGGTCATTTCTGAGGATTTAGATTAGGCCATACAGAAAACTTTAAAACACATAGAATTAATGGAGCTTGTCTCACCAACCTCTGACTGGGGTAACATCACTCAGGAATAAGGTTTCATTTCTTGTTCCTTATCAGGCCCCTTTACGACTAACGAATCCTAGTGGCTTTGGAACAAATTTGACTTCTTGTTAGCTGGCTGAACTGTAACCCAAGCAAGCTGTCAGTCCAGCTCATACTGGCTAAGTGAAGCCTAGGCTTCGGTGCTTTGAGCACACTGAGCTCAGGATTCATTGATGACAGTTTTGTTGGTTTTGATCAAATAGTTCAAGTAAAAATTGTGCAAGCAACTAAAAGTCCAATCAAATGCTTGTCTACTGTATACACAGGATACTTCAAGAAGTTGGGGGCACAGTGATGACTGGTGTAGACAGATTGGGTCAGTAAATGTAAATGAAACTAACAAGTGAATCAATCCCCTTGATATTAATGTCAACCACAGACATGCAGTCTACTGTAAGAGACTAAGAGTCAGAATGAGCTAGGCATGTTGTGGTAAGAATCTCAAAGTCTCAGCCACTTCAAACACTAAACAATGATTTGTTTGTTTGGGGTGTGTGATGTTTTCTTTTGTTCAGACAGAGCCTTATGCAGTCTAGGCTAGCCTCAAACTCCCTGTGTAACCAGGATTACTTTACCTTTCCACCTTCCAATCTTCAATGTAATAATCTGTCCTGTCCCTTAAGAGACAAGCCCCACCCACTCACTCCCCAGTCTGCAGAGGAAGGCAGATAGATCATCCTTCCTGCTTGCAGTCTGAAGTCTCTCTTCCTTTTCTGTCCCTCTCTCAAAGAGGCAGCTTCTGTCTCTCCCTACTTCTCCCCTTCACCCCCTTTCTCTCTGCCTCTCTGCTCTTCTCCCTTCTCCCCTTTTTCCTCCATAACACAGTAATTAAATATCCAACCTCACTCTGCATGGCATGCCTATCCCTGTCTCTGTCTCTTGCCTGCCTGGCTCACTGCCTGGAACCAGCCGCTTTTGAAGACCTGTGGCATGGTGTCATGGCGTGCCCATCCATCGGTCCATCTGCCTCTCCTCGTGGGACTGGCTGCCCCATCAAGGTCTCTCACCCACCATGCAGCTCCCTGCTGGGGACTCCTGGCCTGTTGCAGTTGCAGTCACTCGGGAAACTAAGCTGTCTCTGCCTGGGACTGGCTGTTTGGGAACCTGCAGCATTTCTGCCACTGCAGCCACTCAGGGATCCACAACATTTCACTTTTACCATTACACTCTACCTTCATGACTCACATCAAGGAATATGGATATGCCCCACACAGATGCTAGCCCCAGATAAACTGGTAAATTGTGCTTTATACAATCGGTATCCTCATTCCAGGCCTCTGGCCTTTGGAATAGCCTTTGTCCCAATCATAGACAGTTACTGAGTATAAGAAAGAGGGCCAAAGTAGAGCTATGTATTCACCCACACCAATTTTGTTGGCAAAATCAAGTCATTTACTACACTTAAGGTCCAAAGAATCAGAGGAATACAATCCTTTGTGGCTAAAGAGAGAGAAATGTGCACAGCTACCATGAGTACCATGACCTGGTCAGAAAGATCTCTAAGGGAGAGGTCCTGGATGATACAGATTTTGGTGTGCTAAGCCCAGAGCAAACAGGTCTTCCAGGCTTTGGGAAAGTCATAGAAAGGGGATGATCTTGGAATGATAGAAGAACAAGGGTGACAACTGGTTACCGTTAGGGAGAAATCAGTGAAAAAGAGGTGAGAGGAGGCTAAGAAGTCGAATCCCTTCCTAGATAGTCCCTCCTTCCATTGCTTGTTATTTTATATATTATTATTCTCATATCATTCTTTCCAATGGCTTCTGTAGTCTTAGACTAAGGCTCCTACTGATTGATTACCTTGAACTCTGGGTCTAAAGGAATTTCTTCCTGGCTGTGTATAAGTGGGTACCAGGGGTGTGGATAGTTAGTTAGGAGGTCATAATTATCTTCAAAAGAGAAACATCAAGACTATGGAAATGGAGAAGTCTGAAGAGGTGCTGTTTGGAGAGTGTTTAGCAACACTATGTGTTGCTAAAGTTTGGAAGAAGGGGAATAAGGAAAGCAAAGTATCTAAGAAGGCTGAGCCATGATAAAGAAGGGTATACTTACTGTTGGTATGAATCAAAGGTTCCTTCTAGGTCAAGTTAAATCAGAGAGGGCTACTAGCCATTCATGTAGAGACAGGGTAAATGAAGGAAATGGATCTGGAGCGAAGTGGAGAGCCCTGAAATAAAAATCAACATCTAAGAATCACGATAGAAGATAGAAAGTTGAACTGGCTTGCCTTCCCTCTGCTGTAAGGGAGATCTTTAGACCTAAGGCAACTTCTCTGTGGTTCGAACTCCCACTAAGCAAGTCCTCCTGCGTGGGCCAAACTTACATGATTCTTTAACTGTCATAACCCACTTCCCACCACCTCTCTAGCCCCAGAGAGGGTAGCAACTTCCAGACTTGCTGTCTAGATAATCCCCCTCCCGCAGTTGGCCCTTTAGCTCTTTTGACATGTTTGCAAGTGACTAAATTCTTGCTTGCATTCCCCAGCATGGGTTCTGTTTTCCTTGCCATACTCCCACGGATCCCACAATAGTGAATGGTTCCCACATGGTATGAAAAGCCATGGGACGACATGGGATTATTTGGGAAAGCAGGGGGAGGGGCAGATAGCCTTGAGTCTGTCTGGTAACAAAATCTATCTTTTCAGGTGAGCTTTAATGCCATTTGGCTAGCTGCTAGGCAGGAACAGTTGTTGGAGAGATGAACTAACAAGTAACTCTGCTCACCGTGACAAAATATGAATTGTTGATAAAAGAAAGTAACTTGGCAAAGAAATAAGAATTGTTTGTATAACCAGATGACGTAGATATTATCTATGTTTAAAATAGGAAACAAAGAGTATGTGATGCTCCCACTTCAGCATATCTTGAAGTCCTTGGAAACAAGAGTTTGGCTTCCTTAATTATCTTTTGCTTAGGTAAATACCAGAGTAAACTTGAATTTTCTCTGAGACCAGTTTTAGACAAAAATAGAAGACAATGTTTAAAATGTAGATGATTTCATTGTATCAGAATTAAGAGATCATAAAAATACTATTCTGATAACCCCATGCCTTATACCCTAATATTTTTAGTACCTCTTTTTTTCACCTAATTTATTTATTTTATCTTGTAAAATACAGATAACAAATGGTATCGTGTGTGCTTGCTGAAGTCCCTGAGGAATAGAGGTGATGCTCTGGAAAAACATGCTGGCATCTGGTAGACTATCAAGTCAAGATGCTTTTTTATTCATTCCTTAACCAAATGCTACTGGGGCACTGTTTACAAGCATGGTGTGAGGCCCTGAGAAGAGACAGACAATAAACAAGTCTGGGCTGTAATTCTGCTAGAAGGTGACACTTAAACACTTGAAGGGAGTTGAACGTGATGAGGAATTGCATCACAGATGATGGGGGAGGGGAGCCATGGGGATCTGGGATGCAGGCGCAGGGTAAGCAGAGGGAAGAGTGAGAGACAAGACCTTTAGTGTAGGAAGAGAGAGAGGGGCATGATGGGTATCAACAGAGAGCTCACAGGCCAGATGGTATAAACATGTCCTTGTATCCACTGCGATGACCTCAGACAGCCACTGCAAGGTTTCAAGTCAAGGCAAATTATTTAATTTAGGTTTAATAATGAGTCTCACATTTCAGCAGGTGTGGACTGAGGAGATTGTTCAGTTGGTAATGCGTTTGCATAAATTTTGAGTTTGGGACCCCAACACATATAAAAAGCCAGACACAGCAAAGTGTGTTTGTAATCTTCCTGGCCTGGAGAAGTTGGGACAGGAGACTCATTGGAACCCGCTCCCACTTTAAACTAACCAACAGGCAAGCTTCAGGATCAGTGAGAAATCCTGTCTCACGAATTAAGTTGAAGGGTCAGGGTGAGATGGCTTATTGTGTAAAAACACTTGTCCCTATACCTGATGAACATAAATAAAAAGTGCATAAAAAATGCATAAAAAGTGCATTGCAGTGTGTGTACATGTGCACACACACAAGTAAAAAAACTAAGTATATAAATAGATGTAACCTAAAATTAAGAAATACAAGGTGGAAATCTGAAGCACAATTAATAAAAACTCAGGGACTGATATTGGGGTTCAACCTGAACCCCAGAAAAGTAAAGCAGTCAGCCACTAGCCCTTACCTTGACCTCAGTCCGAAAATAGCCATCCTGCCTCTAGGAATCTAAAATGAGACTGTGACCGAGAGCTGTCTCTTCTCGTTTTGTAATCCTCTCTAGTTCTGTGATTAAAGGTAGGCACCGCCCAGTTTCTATGGCAACTAGTGTAGCTACTGGGATTAAAGGTGTGTGTTATCATTGCCTGGTCTGTAAGGCTGACCAGTGGGACTGTTTTACTCTTTGATCTTCAGGCAAGTTTTATTTATTAAAATACAAATGAAATGCCACTACAGAAACCAGTCGAGGAAGAGACTCTCATTATCACCCCTGTCCTTCATATTCATTCACACATACATGCATACTGACCCTCCTACACATGTGAACACATAAACAAGTACAAGTACACACATGCACACACACACACACACACACACACACACACACACACATTCAGCAAGCATGGGAATCATTAGATTTTTTTTAGCAGAATTTTTGGTTCACTTTGAAGGTTCTGGTTCTTCAGATGGAGTCTGAGAATCATGTCACAATTTGCTTTGATTATGCTATTGAAAATAGATTGATAGAATGGAGGATGTAATAAAAAATAGGGCAGGGAAACTAGTGATGATACCGTAGTCGTCAGTCCACAGGGACAATCATGGTAGATTGTTCAGGACAGCCTCTCAGTGTGGATCCCCGTGGGCATTGGGCTTGTTGGCAGTACACTGCAATGCCTAATAACCTGATTTCCAGACTTGGTGGGGAGTCTACTTTTTGAAGGTATAATCAACAAGATTTTCTAACATATTCTAGTAGATACTCTTCTTCCAGATGCTACAAGTTCCAAAACCTTCCCTTCTTCTCAGAATGGTTAGGAATCACATTCATGCAACACTCCAGTTTACTCAGTCCTTTTCATTCCTTTAAAGTTCAACATATGTTTACCTCTGGCCTTTTGTTTTAATATAAACAACATCTGCCTTTTCCTTCAGTTTAAGTGTATGGCAGTTTCTCCACTACTACCCCTTTTCATGGTTTTATTTTCCAGTCTCAGCTGCCCATAGGCAAATGTGGCTGGAAAATATTAAGTGGACATTTTCAGAAAGGCATAATTTGTAAATTCTAAATACGCCCTTACAGTTAGCCAGGCAGTGGTGGTGCATGCCTTTAATCCCAGCATTAGGGATGCAGAGACAAGCAGATATCTGTGAGTTCGAGGCCAGCCTGGTCTACAGAGTTCCAGGACAGGCTCCAAGGCAACACAGAGAAACCCTGTCTCAGAAAATAAAACAAAATACATGCTTACAGTATGCTACTATATTTGTTCTGCTTTCTTATTAATAGTTGTCAAACTCTTAGTTCCTGGTTTATCTTTCAGTAACTCCTGATTCTGCTTTATAATATGTTCACATGGATATAAAACATTGCATAGATTGGTTTGGATACCATCCAGTTTTAGATATCCTCCATAAGTTTTGAAATGTATCCTTGGTGGAAGAGAAGGAGCTACTACTTAAAGTTTGAATCATTTTACCAATTCCACTCTTGTTGGGAAATACTATTTTCAGGTGTGTGACTTTTGTTTATGTTGCATTTGTTTAACTCTGTGAAGCTGTGTTACTGTGCCTGTCTAAAACACAGGTCCTAACAAAGAAATGACCAGCCAATAGCGTGACAAGGGCAAGGAGAGGCAAGGGTGGCAGGCTGAGAAGAAGTGAAGCAAGAGAACAAGGAGAGGAGGACATCTGGGGCCAGCCACCCAGCCACACAGCAAGCCGTGGAGAAAGATGTAAAGAAAGGTATACAGAAACAAGAAAGATAAAAGTCCAGAGGCAAAAGGTAGTCAGGATAATTTAAGATAAGAAAAGCCGGCAAGAAACAAGCCACAGTAAAGCTGGGCATTTATAAGTAATAATAAGCCTCAGTGTGATTTATTTGGCTTCTAGGTGGTAGACCCCTCAAAAAGCCAAAGGAGTAAAATATCCCAGAATATACCCCCAGTACCACCCACCTCCCTATCCCAGTCCCGCTTCTGACCACACAAAAACTATCAGTTCTTTATTCCTTGGCTCTTATTCTTCTTTGAAATTTGGAAGGACCTTGTATGTCTGGGTCCTTCAGCCAAGCAAAACAAAACAATCTTTTTTATATCAAATGTAAACAAAATTTAAGCAACTAGGTGTCTGTGGATATTCGTCCAAACCCCAGCCTTCAATTTTACCTACTTGAAACATAGAAAATGCTCAGATGGTTAATGGTTTCTGTACAGATACATTAGAGCATTCTACAGATAAACATTTAGCTTTCATACAGGGAGATGATTAGTGTTTTCTTCCTTTGTTCTTTCAATATTTCCGTTACTGTGCTACATAATCACCATGTTGGATCCAGGCTGTCCCCAAGATCAAAAACTACCCTTTTATGACCCACATCTCCCATTTATGTGAAGGAGGCAGGGCTATAAACATGGTATGAAAAAAAAATCTTACATGCCATCTTGATTGCTAACATCTGTTTAAATTTCCATTCATAAATTTGAAATCCAGGCTTCTGCAGCCATCTGTTTGCTCCCAACAATCTGAAAAGAAAGAGCCCAAGGCATCTGTGCGGGTGGGAGAAGGGTTCCGGCTTGGCTCGTCTGCCTGGTGAGAATGGGCTAGCTCTGCATTTGTGTTTCCTCCTCACAAGGCAAGAGAAGGGTCCAGTTTCAATCCCTGGATCTCAGTTGTGGGAGGAAAAGAGATTAGAAATGACTCTTTTTCTTAGTCACCACTTCATTTTCTTCTTTCACTGAGCAGCACCCCCACACCCAGAGGCAATCTTGTCCATTCCATTAATAAGAGACAGGGAAATATTTCCGTGGGCATTCCCAGTGTTTCCTGATAATCTGAGCAAGCACTAGTGACCTGGATCATAGACGACTCTCTAGCTTGCGGTTCCTGTGGGACTCTCATGGGATTCTCTTCACAGGATGCTGTATGAATATGATTCAGCAGCTGTAAGAGCAAGATGCCAGGCTACCATACGTGACCTCCCCGCTCCATTTTTTCTTTTAATTTTCTTTCGGCAGTGTCATTTGTGTCTAAGGAACTGGACTTTTTCTAAAGCTGCTTGGCTGTGTTCCAGGCATTCTGTTACAGCAACTGAGAACGCCTTCGAAAGCTAACATGACGTTTTAGGGGCCTACTGGGTTACAGTACTCTTTTCAAATGCGGTCTGACTTGGTGCTCCGTTTTAGCTTCAAAGAACTTTTTTTCTTTAGTTTGTGTTGAGAAACAAGCCCTCAAGAAACCACAGGCAAACTCTATTTGTTATCCTCCTGTCCTTTTTGAAAACCTCAGCAGTACGATGAGCAAGGATCCACCCAACTTTTAGCTGAATGGTCTAGCGCGTAAGCTGGTGGTTTGTGGGATTGCCTTGCTGATTGAAAGATCTCATTTATTTCTGCTCTGACATTGCTTTTATATATAACTTATGACTGATGCTCTGGGTGTTTCTGTGTGACCTGGAATGAGTCATTTAACCATTCTCAGATCAGAATCTTGGAATGGCAACAGAACAGAAAATTTTAATCACTAGCCTTCCTATACTTGCCTGCTACAGTTTAAAGAGGACCCCGAAAGTTCATTTGTTAGGAGCTTAATCCCCATATTCATACACTAATATTGTCTAAATGTGGAAATCTTTTTGGGAAGTAATTGTGATTAGATAAATTCATAAGACTAAGGATCCAGATTGGGATTAGTGGCTTTAAAACAAAGGAAAGAGAGAGACGAAGCTAGCCTGTGCTTGCTCTGTTTTGTTACCAGGTGCCCTCTGCCATGTTGTCATGCAATGGGAAAGTTAAGGCCAGATGCTGGCATCTTGCTTTTAAACTTACCAGCATTCAGAGCTGTAAGCTAAATAAACTGCCATTCTTCACAAGTTACGCAGCCTGTGGTATTCAGTTATAGCAATGGAAAATGAACCATGTCATCATTACTGAGTAGATCATATAGGTGATGTTTATTTTGTGTGCAGAATATCAGCAGCCCTTGCTGATGTGGGGGTACTAGACATCTAAATTACCTGTACTTCCAAACAGCTCTGGTCAGCTCATAAGCTCTTCCTCACCTGTCATTTTCGCTAGGCTCTCTCATATTGTCACTGAGGCCTGTCTTTCTGATTTCAGAGTCCTTGTCCTGTCCCCTCCCTCCCTCTATATGTTCCTCAGTACTCTCGTGAAGAAGTACCAAGGTCACAAGCCTTACCTTATTGCCAGTGTCAAGGTTTATATGAGTCTGGGGAAAAGTGGAAATCACTAAGATTTTCGGCCATTTATTCATTCATAGCATGCATCATTAATCCATCTTCCTGTGCTCTTTGATAAGGCCAACTTCAGAATTCTCCAGCTAGGATTTAATGTAGCCACAAGTAATTGGTGGGAATTGGGGGGAAGAGCAGACCTATTCACTAAAATTTGCTAGGGACAATGGTCTGGATGCCATAGTTATTCTGACTGAAAGTAGAGAATATAGATTTCAACAACTCTCCTTTATCTAATTCTGTTTTTAAATCTCTCTTTAATATAATGTACTTTCTTTTTTAAAGTTGGAAACAATCCCAAGTGCACAGAAAAGCTGCATAGCACACTGGTTTTCTAAAGAATCAGAGCAGAGGCTGCTGAATCATGGGATGGCCCATGATTCCAATATTCAGATGTATTTTCTAAAAGGATAAAAAATGACATTCTCCTTTATCTCTTCAATGCAAGTACCAAACCAGGAAATCCATGTGGTTACTTCTCTCAACAGATGGTTTCTCTATTCGCTTCAATGGCATGCTTTAAGAGAAGATTTCAGTATGAAAACTGTGTTGGAACTTTATGTCCAATGTCTTCAGTCTCCTTCAATTTGCAACATACTTACTCTTTACTTGACCTTCATGACCTTGACACTTGCAGAATTAAAGATTAAGTAGTTATTTTATAGAATGCTTTCAATGTAGATGCATCTGGTAAGATTTCATGAGTAGATTCAGGCAATACATCATAGCAGAATATCACAGCCCTGATGTAATATCTCTCATTACAACCCATTAAGTTGCACAGGATTTAGATCCGCCTCATTACGACTGATGTTGACATTGATCTCT